GCCCCTCAGGGGGCTGTCAGTTCACAAATGCAAGCAAGCAAATAAAAGCCACCAATAAGAGTCCTCTAGAAGCTCATGTCAAGACTGGCTGAAAAGTCAAGTAGGTTGCTTCGTGGCAGTTTTAGGGGAGTCGCTGTCCCCAAATCGAGCTTCTGAGGACAGATTGCCAAAGCCCCACTGGAAACCCTGGGTATGTAATCCTTTGTACATCAGGGCCCAGTGTGTGCCTTCGGGACCCAGCTGGCAGTTGTTCACCCTGCGTAAACCCTGCTTAGAGCTGGAGCCTTCTGGAAGTCATTGGCACAGGAAGGCGAGCACTTACTGCCAAGGCTTGACTTCCTCTGCTGAGTGCTCTGGGGGCACCACGAGCCTGTGGCTCCACTACGCACTCGGATCATAGGACCCTAGTTCAGCCACGCCTGCCATGACACTGCTTCAAAGAACCCATGGAGAAAGAGACAGGAGCTCTGGCATCTTGGGAAATGATGCCTTTAATATTGTAACTGATTTAAAAAACAAGGAAAGCATTAGCCCTACACTTGATTGGCCAGCGCTAGTGAAAGGAAAGCAGACTAGTTTACCCATTCGTTGGCCTTTCTGACTTTACACTGCCTCTCCCAGGGTGGCAATTAGCCTAGTCGGAGAAGGAGCAAAGGACCCTGTAGCAAGAGTGCCTGAGACTCACTCATGGTCCCTGGAGACGGGCGAGAGGGAAGCTAAAGGGCGGAGGGGTGGGTAGCTCAGAGAACACTTGCTCAAGCGTCACCAGGGAGGCGCAGTGCAGAAAAATAGAGCAAAGGCTTCGGGGGCTGGAAATCAGCCTGGCCAACACAACTGTGCAGGGTTTAAGTTTCAGGACAGCACCCTCCCCTGCCTCTTCCAGAAGGAAACCTGTAATGGAATAGCCACCGTGTGTCGCCTTTCCCAAGACTGGGCAGAAGAGGCCACGAGGAAAGGCTAAAGTGTCCATCCCCTTGGCAGGGCTTAGAGGCAGCGTAGGGGCCGGGGAATCAGAAGCACTCCACTTTGTCTCTGCCTCATTGGCTGGGGACCTTGGTATTTCAGAGCGCAGTAGCGGGGGGCTTGGTGCCCAGCTGGGAGTTGCTCACCTAGCTTCACCTAGCTGTAGCTGAAGACCAATTCAAACTCTTAACCTCGCAGAGTCTTCGTTTCCTCGTGTGTAAAATGAGACACTGTTATGACTTAGCGCAGAGGGCCTTTAAGAATTAAGTCCGATGGCATTCCTAAATTACCACGACGATTAGGCATCTAGTGATACCTCTGATGGTCACGTGTATGTATCAGCTGAGATCGCACTTCCCTTCGTTAGATTTGTAAGCCAATCAAGAGTCAAAAGCATAAATTAGACATCCAAAATGTACCCTGATTGCTGTGCTTTTCGGGTGAATTTGTACAGCTTCCTTTTGCCCTCTTCAAATCGGATGAACTGAAATCCAATAACCAGACTCAGATCCTGTGGCCACTGGGTGAGAGACAGAAGGGTTTGCAAGTCACCCTCCCCCTGGGGGTTAGCCTTCTTGTTCCTTTTTCCACCAACAGCAAATAAGAAACCCACTTGAGGAATGTCCACTTGCTCAGCCTTCCTCCCCATCTTCCCTAAGTTATCGATTACTTCCCAAAGTGCATAGATTATCTTATTCCCTAAGTAGTGCTATTTTTTTTCTGCTCTATAAAAATGATTCCTCATTTTCTTCTAACATACTTTCTTGAATTTTGCATTAGAAAGCTCTAGGGAGAAGATTTTTTTTTAAGAGCTCAGGGTTTGAAAGAAAAATCTTCGACTATTTAAGTGCATAATTCCCAAGAAAGCTTTTACTTTTGACCTCTAGAAATGAGTAACTGTTATACAACAAACCTACAAAAGCCGGGACCTGTGTAAGGAAAACGAAAATATTTTCCACTAAAAGAGAATGTTGAAACACATGGTAAGGCTGCATCTGCCAGGGGTAGAAAAGTAATGAGGCATATATATTTATAGGTTTAAGGTAGCAAATGGACATTGGGCCTCCACTCAAGTACTCCCTCAATGCAAGAATACTTTGTTTTATTAAACCGGCATTCCATGATGCTCACCTTCCCAATATGTTCGCTAAAGACAAATGGGTGCATAAGCAAATGTGGTGAAGAAAGCTGATGGTGCGCAGCTATCAAAAAATATAGTATCTGGGGTCTTAAAGGCTTGAAGGTAAACAAGTGGCCATCTAGCTCAGAAGCAACAAAGCCCACATGGAAGAAGCACACCAGCCTGTGTGATCACGAGGTATTGAGGAGATGAGGTATCAGGCAGCAAAAAACAAAAAATCATGTCATTGTGAATGAGGGGGAGTGTGGAGTGGGGACCCAAAGCCCATCTGTAGGCAACTGGACATCCCCTTATGGAAGGGTTGCGGGTAGGAGATGAGGCAGTCAGGGTGCAGTGTAGCAACTATGAAACATACAACTTTCTCCTGGTTTCTAAATGCTTCCTCCCCACCCACTATCATGATCCCAGTTCTGCCTTACAAATCTGGCTGGCCCAGAGGATGTACACTGGTACATCTAGGAATTGGAAACACAGGGAATCTGGGATGGATGATCCCTTCAGGACCAGTGCTGAAAGTAGTGATACCAGGAAGAGGGGGGAGGGATGGAAAGGGGGAACGGATTATAAGGATCTACATATAACCTCCTCCCTTCGGGGCAGACAATAGAAAAGTGGGTGAAGGGAGATGTCTGAAAGTGTAAGATATGAAAATAATAATTTATAAATTATCAAGGGTTCATGAGGGAGGGGGGAGCGGGAGGGAGGGGAGGAAATGAGCTGATGCCAGGGGCTTATGTGGAGAGCATATGTTTTGAGAATGATGAGGGTAACGAATGTGCAAATGTGCTTTATACAATTGATGTTTGTATGAATTGTGATAAGAGTTGTATGAGCCCCCAATAAAATGATTAAAAAGAAAAGTAATGAGGCCCAGGCAGTCCTGTTTGAATCCCGGCTCTCTCCAGCACCTCCCCCCCCAACACACACACACACACACACACACACACACACACCATTTACTGATGCATGGACTGTAAGTTCTTCATGATCCAGGGGGTACAGGTTTTTGAACTAAAATGCTAGACTGGTACTTAAGCAGTTCATACTCTGGCTTCTAACTTACCATATATAGTGGAGTATAAGCCGAGTTTTCCAGCACATTTTTAATGCTGTTTTCATAGTAAAATTAGGTGCCTCAGCAGATAGTCGGGTTAGCTTATACTCCAGAATATACGGTAGTTGATTTTCCTTTGGGGTAGACTCCATTATTTGGGGTGGGGGGAATCAAATATTTGTACCCAACCAATTTTTCCTTCCCTTTCACAGCATGGCATTTTATTGGTATAATAATCAGCAGTTCTATAGAGAAGACTGGCCATGCAAAATTATGTAGCACACGTTCTCAAAATACTTATTCTGGATCCTGAGTTCCCTAATTCCTTCCCCTCTCCCATTTTTAGAGATTGCACACTCAATGTATAATAGAAAACTGGACACTACTGGTAGAGCCTTGATCCCTTTTCAACCATGATGTTGACTAATTATCCTTAAAATGAGGAGAAAGGCAGGGTGGTGGCCCGTGGGTACTGATACGATTTTCACTGGCCTGGAGGAAACTGTACAAATAAAAACGGAGCGTGGAGGTGCAGGGGAAGCAGGGACAATCTTTAGGGAGGCTGTCTTTGAACGGTCCTTGAAATATTGCAAGTGTTAGCTTTGTTTGCCTCTCACAAACTATTCTGGCCTTTTGGGGCTTCGAAAAATTATTTGCATAGAGAAAAGGACATAGTCATTAACTTATTGCAATAGAGTTTTTGACCTGCCTTTTTGTAGGTTGCTTCATGTCCTTTGTTGAAGCTGTTAATGGATTTTAAAAGAGTTAGACCTTCATTCCATATGCATGGATTCTCCATTCCCGGTTAGCGAGGTCGTAAGAAATGGAAAAGGCTGAAGGTGTCAGATGAACTCTGGTTGGAATAATGTGGAGATGTGCTTTCGTGACTAAATCTCCTGCATTCTCAGGACAGTCCCATGGTAAAAATCTGTCCCCATCAGTGCTGCTGTGGCCCAGTGTTGGAGACAACAGGGGCCCTGCGTTGGAGGTTCAGATCTTGTTAGACTCCGAAGGCCTGAGAGCTGCAGTGTCAGGTGGTTTAGAGGTGGCTGTCACCATCCCAGAGAGCCATTGTCCACTACAGAAACTCCTGTGAGCTTGATTTCCTCCAGGGTTACCGTTTAGGCACTTCGCTAAGCAATGCCTTTGCAGAGCAAACCGGTTAACCACAGTGGCCACAGGTGTGCTGCACTTCAAGGAAAGAAAGCCTCTCGGCGAAGCAAGCCCGGTTGGAATTGAAACAAGCAACGCTTTGTTGTCCAGAGGAAAGAGGGAGGTGGGGCAACACAACGGTAGTGGTTTTCTGAGCTACGGGACTCTCTCTGTTGAAAGGTGACGTATGTGGGGCCTTAACATACAAACTACGGTAGGTCCAAGCAGAGATGGAGCACTAGGAAGTACACTCTTTGGGCCTCAAGTAGCCATCTCCTAGACCCTTGGGAAAGGCTCTGTAGCACTCAGCAAGCTGCACAAAGCTCCCCAGCCTGGCCCTTCCAAGAAGGTCCAGCTTAGCCTCATTCTGATCCAGCCAGGCTAAGGGCCCTGTGTTCCATCTTTGGTTGTGAGGATGCTCTTGAGGGGGGCCGCCCGCTGACTGTTTGTCACTAGGCAGGCACTCCCAGTGTTGGGCACCAGCCGTGTTGAAGGTGCGCGAAACCTCGGGTCCAGTTTGGTTGGGTGACGCCACCCAACCCTGCCCCTCTGATGTTCGCCGTGGTGTAGCCTCCAGCGCTGGCCCATTGCGGCCGGACACCAGTGTGGGACCACAGAGGTGGGGAGCAAGGAACTCCGTTCTCTTACCATAGAGCTGCTTCTCCTGACCACATTTTGTTTGTTCTCCAGATGATGATTCAGATCTGTATTCTCCTCGATATTCCTTTTCTGAAGACAGTAAGTGATTGGAAAGTTCTGCTTCTGGGGGTGGAGGGAAGATGTCTGCCTGTTTCCTATTTTCCTGGGGAGCTGCCCTTTTTAAAAGTCTTTTGTTTGCATGTTCCTCCTCCAGCAAAGTCTCCCCTTTCAGTGCCTCGCTCAAAAAGTGAGATGAGCTACATCGATGGTGAGAAGGTAGTTAAGAGGTCCGCCACGCTACCGCTCCCAGCTCGCTCTTCCTCCCTCAAGTCGAGCCCAGAAAGGTAGGTACCCTCACTGCTGGTTCATTGTTCACAGCCAGGACCTTGTCAGCGTCAACTGAGACCTAAAAAAAAACAAAACAACCAAACAAACAAAAGAAAAGCACAGCTTCCAGCTCCTAGTGGCTCTCTATGGGGTTTCAGAGACTGCAAATCTTTACCAGAGCAGACAGCCTCATCTGTCTCTCAAGGAACCGCTGGTGGATTTGAACTGCCAATCTAGTAGTTAACAGCCCAACATATGTAGCTCACAGCACCACTAGGGCTCCTTTACTGGGACCAGGAACCTTCTTCCTGAGGAAAATGGAAGCAGAACTTTATCTTTTTGTCTCATGCAATCACAGTCGGCTTCTGTGGGTTTTGTTTTAGGCTCTTGAACACCATCTGCCAGGGAAGTGTGATCTCTCTAAGCTGAGCCAGGCAGCATCCGAGGTAGAAGTCAGGTAGACCTTGGTCCGTACTTTCAGACCTATTAGCAATGACTTATCCTTTGGGCATCTCATCTTCATCTTAAAAATGGGGGTAAAATCAGCACCCTTCCCACTTAAATGTTGCATGGGGAAAATGGGATCATATACATCCATGTGTGCTTAATGAACGTTGACAGTAACGATTGCTTTTTCACAAGAAGAGTCTTAGCCATAAGATTTGCTGTGTGTGTCCGTGTGTCTCGGCAGATTTATCCTGTGCATTTCAGTATTGTCACGCCCTGTGTGCATACTGATAAATCCTAGGGCAGAAAATATCATTTGTAAACGAAGCTTCACTTTCCAGTATCTACTTGCTTACGCAACACATATTCTTGAGAGTGGTTCTCTCAGCGGCATTCCTTTTTTCTTAATGCCTGCACTGAACAACCCATTTCCTCATGGGGACTTCCATGCTGAAAATGGCCTGTGGTGTCACCTTCCTCTGTCGTCTGGACTGATGTTCCGTGTGCCTTAACCATCTTCCACCACGTCTGCACACAAAGACATACCAGCCCATTTATTTTTACCCCCTCGGACACGCTCAGTTTCACACCTCCGTATCCTTTATGTCATCCTCGTAAAGTGAGTGGCTCTTTTAAAAGCCTGACCCATGCCCAGTGGCGTCAGCCTGAGGAGCTGGTTAATTTGAAGTAAAGTCTGAGACCATTCATAAATCCTTTATAGGCTCCTTCATCAAGCACCTATGGGTGCTGCCTCGGTGCAGGCTGAGTCAGGTGTTATGGAAGAATCGATAGACAGCTAAGTCTTCACCCTTACCTTCAGGAATTGTATAACCATATCATTGTGGATGTTTTGATCTAAGATTCTATAGAAGAACACTAATCCTAAGGGGGAGAAAATGCAGAACAATTTCAGAGTCCCAGACCTGAATTTCTGGAGCCTTAAACCAAAAATATCCCCTGAAGTCATTTGTAAACCAAACAATAGTGAACTTCAAGCAGTAAAGCATATCTGCCTTAGGTCTTCCGCTCTCACTCTATAAAAGCATTATCTATCTAGCTGTATAAAGCACTATCTCTATGAGGTCAAACTGACAACAGCAAAGGGGAAAGGTTGGAGCAGAAACATCAGGGGCAGAGGGCATATGCTAATGGTGAAGGAACAGTTTGGGGCAAGGGGTCGAGACTGGTGGCAAGACATGAATCTAATCAATGGCACTGGATGATACATGCAGAAATGGGCGGAGTTGGTCTGTTTTGCTGTTGACATGTTCCCAACAATATATATATGTATATACATACACACATACATACAGGTCATAGCATTACAGGAAAAGCTACATGTCGTCACAGTACCAAGCGTACATGGATATAAAATCTGCCTGCCGCCTTCAAAGGCTTCAGGCTATCCTCTAACACCCGTCCCTCCTGGAGCCCATGTTAAGGATCTCTGCCCAAGACTGAGCTGGCTAGGCTTGGGGGTGGGGGTGGAACAGGCCAGGATGGACTCAAGAGAGCAGCCGACCTTTCCTGAGTGATTGCCACGGAGCGGTCACTGGGCCCAGCTACGGATGCACCACCTCGTGTCATCCTCACCACCGCTGGCACTGAGCCCATGTCACAGTGTTCTGAGTTCTGTCCCATTGTGGCCCCATACATGCCAGAGCAGAACTGCACTCTGTAAGCTTTCATGACTATACTTTGCACACGTAGACCGCCGGGACTTTATTCTGAGACGTCACTGGGTGGACTCGAAACCTCCCGACGTTTCAGCAAGCCAGCCAAGCATGCTGCCTGGTGGTAGCTCGGACTCTCCTGGTCCTCACGATCACCTCCATGTTTCCGATGAGGAAAAACTGAGACGCCGAGGGTAAAGTGCTTGGCCAAGATCACTCGGCTAGCCAGTGGCGTAGCGGGGATGGGAACCACACCCGACTGACTCCAGCACCTGTGTTTGGTCCCCCGCTCGCTGCACTAGAGCGAGCGGGAAGCACAGTCATGCTTGCAGGGTGATCCACTCACGAGAACAGAGCAAGGTGAAAGATTTTTCCAGGTCGAGTTTGGCTGGTGTCGAGCCCAGGACGCCTCAAGCCCTCTGGTGAACTGAACACCAAGACTGAGCTCGTTGCTCCAATTCCAGTTGCTTAGCTGTTAGCACAACTGGATTTGCTCCCCCTCAACTCTGATGTTCTGCTTTATAAATAAAGATTCCTTTGATTCGACGGCAGTCAACCGAAGGCAGACTGTGTCCAACGAAAGCGGATATCGGTTTTCCCGAGAGCAGCTCTAACAGGACTTTCTTTCTGCAGAAACGACTGGGAGCCTCCAGATAAGAAAGTGGACACGAGAAAATACCGTGCTGAGCCCAGAAGCATTTACGAATATCAGCCGGGCAAGTCCTCCGCTCTCACCAACGAAAAGATGGTAACGTGCATTCTAAAGCCCTTTGTCTCACACTTCCCGGGCAAGGGCTCTAATCCGGATGCATTGTGCAGTTGGATTACGTTCCTCCCCCAGCCTCCCCCTACACCCCCCCCCCCATAGGCTTGCTTTGTTTAGAAGACAATGAGAAAGTGAAGTCTTTTTACCCTTTTCATTTTTGCAGGTGTTCATAAAAACAAGCCCCGAAAGACTGCTTCTTAACTGTGACTCTGTGGCTCTTTTTGTGTGTGGTTTTCACTAACGTTCATCTTGATACTCCTGCCGAGATTGATTTTACTGGTGTCTTGTTTTCAACGTCTAACAGTGTATAAAGTTATCAGTCTGGTTATTAACTGGAGGGCCGTCAGCCGTTGATTCTCCAAATGATTCTCATTTGAATGTAAATCCATTTTGCAGCAGCTTCTAGCACATCATTAGCTGAATAATTAATGTAATGTTACGACTTGGGCTGTGGTGGGAGCCCAGGCGGTTAGAAGAGGTCTTGGAGACGTCCCTGCTCCAGCACAGGCAGTGGAACCCTGATTTCCAGTTCTGCCTGGCTCATCACGTCTCCGGCAGTTGCAGTGGGGGAATGCTGGTTTGGGTACAGGAGACCACCCGGGAAAGACAGGCTGTTCTGTGCCACAGGAAACAATGTTGACAGACCCATTCATTTCATAGCTGCTAATCATGTTTCCTTTCGTGGACCCATCATTAGAAAAAGCTGGTTCATAATCCGACTGTGGTTAAAAGGCTTCTCTTCAGCTCCAACAACATTGCAGCGCTCTGGCCCATGACAGCAGGATTGAATTATCTTGCTGGGGCTTGGTTCTTATTAAAATGGTGCTGTTGCTGTGCTTCTTACCCCAAAAGCAGGTCCCGGAATGCAGATTCCAGTGGGTTTCCCTCGGCCCTACATGCTTTTAAGGAATAATTGATGTGAAGACTTTTCCTAAAAATAAAAAGGTGACATCTTTACAAGCACAAAGGGATAAGTCGTTGTAATTACCAAAAAGGAGGCCAACGGTTCACAGAAAGGCTCTTACTGTGTGCGCCACAGTTATTTTAAGCAAGGACATTCAGAGAGGCAGAGAATTTTCCCTCTGTAACCCGCGCCCGTTAGAGGCTCATCATTCTCCATTATAAAGTCCCTGGTACATCATCGATGTGGCAAGGGCACCTCCACACAGGGGTTCCTAGGAAACCGTGCGGGTGGGGCTCCGCTCGTGGCATTAATAATAAGTCTGGCACCTTCCAAAACATACCAAGAGGGCTTCAAACCCTTCCTGGGAAAGTGGAAGTAAAAGACAGAGGAATTTTCCCATGAACCTTTCGAAGTCCCCTCCTATCAGGGATTCTCTGTAGGCCTTTGGTTGTTTTTGTTTTAATAGCATTACCATCCATCAGTTCTCATTTCTCTGATTGACGACTTGCCCCTTAGGTTTTTTCTTCATTTCCTTTCCTTGTTTGATTCTTAGCCACGTCACCACGACTCAGAAAACCCTGTTTTGTTTTCTTTTCTCTTTGACACCGCTCACAAGTATCTTCCATACTTCTCCAGTTTGGAAGATCATTTGTATTGGGTTGTTTTTTTTTTAATCAATCCTGAAAATAAGTGTGTGATTCCCCCATGGGGGGGTGTGTCCTTTTAGAGGGTGGTGGTGACCAGCTGAAGGGATTGCACAGCATCGTGTAGATGTTCCTACCCAAGAGCCTCTTCTGCGTGGTGCCCAGGCCCTCACTGGACCCAAGAATGGGACATAAACCCTGAAGCATTGTGCCCAGGAGGGAACGGGACCTCCCAGTGTCTTTCTCCCAGTTGGGCACTGCCCTTCCAAAGAGTGTTTGTTTGTGTTTTCATATGAGAGGCATTTCAGGCAAATCTAGATCTCTTGGGATTGTGCCTCTCACAGACGCAGTAGTTGGATTAGTCTTTGAGTTTGGGGTCCCTCTAAACCTTGTTGGCTCCCAGAACACAAGCTGGACTAGGAGTTCCTGGAGCGTGCGAGACTCACCGTTGGGTAGCCAGTGACGGGCTGGCAGAAGCTGAATCTCCCCCCCTCCTCGTTGTTTACCGTGGATAAGTATGCCAACTAGTGGCAGAGACAGAACCTAAGTTTTCCCTCAGAGATGTACACCTCATTTTCTATGTTCAATGGGAGGTACTTGGGATTGGTTAAACCTGGCCATTTCAATCGCGCATCTCAGAGGCATCCCTGGGCGTTAATCGGAGGAGGTGGTGGAGGGGAGACTCTAGAGCTCTCTCAGAGCTCATCTTGTCCTGAGAATACACACCCGACCCCACCCTGCAGTCAGTGAAACCCCTTCAGGACCACCCCCAGAAAAACTTTGCAACTGGAGTCTGCTTTCTTCTGGCCTTCAGAGTTTAGCTCTTAACTGGTCAGCCCCTGCATTGTCAGAAATGGCCATTTTTGTACTGTTTCTTTATACTTTCCTCCCGGGTCTCTAGTGGAACTAACATCCAATTAAGCAGATGTACAGGGGATAACTTTTACTAACCAAGCCCTGGGTGAGACGGTGGTGCCTGTGCCCCCATAGTAGGAAGGACAGACGTTAAAAACAATAAGGATGGACACAGTGACCTGTTCTGGAACTGTGAATCTCGGGGCTTGGTGTCTTCTAAGATCACAGAGGTCACTTTCAAATTCCTTCCTTGACTTCTGCAGTTTACTTACCCTTCTTTAACCGAGCGTCACAAACTTAGTGAGTCTGCCCCCTTCTTGTGGCAATAGCGGGAAGAACATCAGACCAGGAGTCGGAAAGACTGAATTCGGGGTTCAAGTTGTGACTCCACTTTCTGTCGTGAGGCAAGTCGCACTGCCTTGCTGAGCCCCCTGTAAAGTGGCCTGCAAACCTTGCGGAAGCATGAAGTAAGAGGACCCCGTGTGGCCATGCGGATCAAACAACTGTGAACGCTGTAAAGTGGCCTAGTGACCAATACCCCGTCATATCACTCATTTAATTGAAAGGTTAAGGCTGTTCTCTGGGTCCCATTCCCAGTAGCAAAACTGTCCTGGAGGGAAAATGGGGCATTTTCCTGAGAAGTCACCTGACTTTTCCGAGGGCCTTCTTGCCTTGGGATGAGAGTAGCGTGCAAAGCCGAAGAACTCTGCCCAGCCTTGCAGGGACTGTCTGCTCTGGAGAACCTTTTCTGCTTGCGATGCGCTGGGGCTCCAGCTGGGTCCTAAATGCAGAGGTTAGTGCGGGGCTGTGGTACCTTTTTACCGTAATCTCTGAGGAGCTGGCTGCGGACCCAAGTTGATTGATATATGAGGGGCACGCCAAAAAGTTCATGGGTGGATGGCATTAAAAAAATAATGGAAATTTCCACACACTTTCTGAAGTCCCCTCATACCACTTCACAAGCACCAAAGATGTGGACACAGGACACAGGACCCTTCCTCCGGGCAGTCCTCGTCCTTGTCCCCAGGAAGTGAAGTTTCTCATATGAGGTTTTCTATCTCAAGAAACATTTTGATTTTTTCCTGAATATCAAGAGCCCCCAATGTTTATGGGAAACTCCATCATCTTTTCATTCCATTTCCCACACACTTTTTGAAGCCTCTTCGGATGATTGTCCTCACACGACTGTCGGAAATCCACCAGGTTTTGTTTTGGTGGGGTTTTTGTTGACGATCATTTCCCCCCTGAAATTGACGTGTGTATATTACGTACATGAATTTATGCCACTAGCCTCCACCCCCTCTTGTCTCAGGTGAACAGATCTCTCATTTATTTAGGGAAAGTCCTGATTTGCATTCTAGGCACTCATTTTGTTCCAGAAACACTTCTCATTCCACCGCGTGAGTTATCAGAACTTTATAAATATTTGGTCAAACATGAAGTCCCATGGGTCAGATTATCAGTCTGCAGGCGCCCCTCCGTGAGCTGTAGAGTGTGAGAAGTCTCACTGTGGAGCGTGACCCAGTTTTTCCCTCTCCTGTTGCTCCGTTCTCTGTCTTGTCCAGCGTTTTCGTCGCTCGGCTTTGGCCAGTTCTCTAACATGTATGTGTTCGAACGCAGAGTGCTCTCTGTCTGTATTCATCCCCACGGATGCACGTGTGAGACCTGTTTCTTTTCCCTGTGTCCCGTTTTTTTACTTACATCATCTTCCACTTGACTGTGCAGGACATGGTTTCTCACCTACTCATGTGCCATTAAAGATGCAGTATTAACAGATTGGCTTTTATAAAGTGTCCGTATCTGCGTTTATTTCAAAAACCCGCAGGCCGCTTTGCAAAGAAGCACTAAAACTACTAGCCCATTAAAAAGTGTTTGTTTTGCTCCCCTGGCATAGATGGCTAAACGTTTGGTGCTCTCACCAGGCTGTCCCCTTGGAACTCATAGTTCTTTGTAAAGAGGGGATAAGGAGCCCCGGTGGGGAGGTATTGGGCTGCTCACCACAAGGTCTGCGGTTCAAACCCACTAGTTGCTCTGTGGGAGAAAACTGAGTCTGTTTGTTCCCGGACAGATGTACAGTCTTGGCAACCCTCAGGAGCAGTTCTACTCTGTCCTGTGGGGTCTCTGTGCTGCAGAAGCAACTCAAGGGCAGTGGGTTTGGGTTTTGGGGGACTTTGCTCCCATGGCATGGATCATGCTTGCTGTGCCCAGATTCAGGGTTATGGTAGAGGGCAGCAGTGTGGTTCAGAACTTACACCTGCAGTCCAATCGCCTTCTGCTGAGGGACTGAGAACGAGCCACTCGCGGCTCCCTACCTCAGTTTCCCTTTTAAAAACAGACCCATCCCCATCCAGCCTTTTAGCTCCATCCAGTTCTTATTTTCATTTTTGCTTGCTGTCAGGTGAAAATGAGCGGTGGCTGCAGTTACGTGCCGTTGTTAGAAAGCCCGGAAAAACCACTGCATCTCTACTGGCCTCTTCCTGTGTGATCTTTGCATAATGTTACCCTTCTCTCTCTCTTCCATTTCCTTGTCACCAACCCCTATAGAGTCGGGATGTAAGCCCAGAAGAGATAGATTTAAAGAATGAACCTTGGTATAAATTCTTTTCGGAATTGGAGTTTGGGAAACCGGTAAGTTTACTAGCCTCACTGGTTAAAGACGCCTTTTGAAATGACGCCTTTTGAAATGACGCTGTTGATGCACTTAGAGAATCAGAAGTATCGCTAAGGGACTTGGGACACTGGAAGGAGTCTCCCCCAGGCTCCCGTAGTGGATGGTCCATTCTCTCTGCCTGTGAGGTCCCCCTTGCTTAGTTCACCAGGAAGGGGCTGTAGGCGCTGCAGTATCTCCCGCCCAGATATCCCAGAGAGACACACGACTGAACACTGCTTCTCCTAGGACCTGCCCCCACTAGCAGCACAGTTCCACCGTTTCTCACTCCCTCGACCAGTTCTTATGGCAACGGAAGAGAGGCAGGGAGCTGCACTGCACGCACGCACGCACGCACACACACACGCATGCACGCACGCAGCACTGAGTCTGCTGGGAACGGCATTTTAACAACACAGGTGCAAGGGAAGGACCTCTCCCCACAGGTGTGGCCCATACAGGCAGCTCCACTTGCAATCACTTTTAGGGAATGAGTCCCATGAGTTGAGGGCATATTTTCCAAAATGTGAGAAGAGAGGAATTTTAGCAAATTGGGCATTCAACTGAATATTCCGCACCTTCCAGCAATAGCTCTGGTTTGGCTTGGGTGCAAAATGCCTTTTGGCACTTCTTAGCCCAGCACACACAGAGAGTCCAGTTTACATCCTAATTAATAAACTGCTTTTTAAAAAAGAGAGATTCTTTAGACCAAGGAGTTACATGTATAAAAATGAGAGTTTGGGCAGATGTTTGCTTGAGACCTTAAAAATTGAATCCAGCATCTGAATAACTCTGATTTAAGGTGAAAGCTTTATTTGCAGACTGGAATTAACTTTGTAGTTCAGCAAAGAATCAAAATAGGCATTTTCCATAAAGACGAAGTCAAAAGCAGGTGCTCCAGGAATATACTTTGAGTTAGTGATGGGCTTTCACCTGAAAGCCCAGGCATCTTTTGAATTAAGGGCACCCGCATTGTGAACATACTGACTGGGGGAACAGCTTTCCCTGCAGGCTCTGGAGTAGACCCCTAGTGCTAAAGAGCAGTCAAGGTGTTGTGAGTGAACAGCACCCTCTAGAGACCAGAGGAGGGGAAGCAACTCACCTCAAGGCTGCACCGTGCTCCTTCCTCTTCCCTAAAGCTTTTGGTGCGGGTGCCATTCAGTCTCCTTCCTCTCCTTTTCCTTCTTGTTCACCATTCAGACACCAATTAAGTCTCTCTTAAAGAAATCCATTCTGCGTTCAATCATTTAATAGTATTCTACTTCTTTTTTTAAATAAATAAAAACTTTAATATGTGTATTTCCAAAAGTGGGTAAAAATTACAATTGATGTGTAACAGTAATACCATCTATCAATAATACCGCCCATCAGAGAAATTTTTACAAAAAGACTCCCTTTGAAGTTAAATGATGAGAAGTCCAGACACACTGATTTCTCTAAGTCCCTTTCAGAATCCACAAATTTCCAGCCATCTCCTTATCTGCCTGAAATTTAAGCCTATTTTATCAGAAATACCACTAGCTTTTAGGAGACCATTTTTTCCTCCGATTACTTATGACTTGTTTGTTTTGCTAAGTCTGTCATCACAAATCATTTTATTCTTGTTAACAACAGATAGTATTTCTGTCCCTGAAAACATTAAGTGGGTTTCTGTGACTACTGCGCACACGTGTAAACGATTGTTAGGCACGCGATCCAGTTGTGTATCGAGTCCTTCCTCTAATGAGTATCTCGAATTACTACTGCCTCTGAATACTGAGTCTTGAGAGGCTTTTCCTGAAAGACGTTTTCCCTGAAGGCAGCAGCGTTCCTCCCATAGACCGCAGTCTTCCGTCATGGAACTGCTCCTTTTAGGCAGGTGTTCTTTGAAAAGAGAATGCCGTTAAAGGTTTGCAGAATGACTCTCTGCCCTTGTACTGAGATCAGAATGTTTCCAGGGGAGTCTCGGTGGAGTAGTGGTTCCATGGTGTGTTATGAACCGTAAGGTAAACCAGGTAAACCGTTCGAGACCAGCAGCCAGCTCTGTAGAAGGATGAAACCTTTTACTCCTGTAAAACGTTACAGTCTGGGAAACCCACAAGGGCAATTCTCCCCTGCCCTATAGGGAGGGGGTTATTATGAGTTAGAATCGACTCCCCAGCCCTGATTTAGGTTTGAGAATGGCTCCAGGTTGATGGCTGCATATGACTTCGGGTGCGTGGGAATGGCAAGGTGAGTTGGGGAGAAATTGTTTCTTTTCACTTGCCTTTTTACCCCCAAAGACAAAAGTGTAAGAAACACAAATACCAACAGTGTGGACCATGGGTGTTTTGGGGGGGGGGGGAGTTTTTTTTAAGCTATTCAGATGACTGCCACCAGTGCCGTGGAGTGCACTCCAGAAAGAGGTCACCCGGCCTTTTTTGGGAACTGACTCTGGGTGTTTTAAAACCTCCAACCTTTCAAAGACCAGTCAAGCCTGCTGTCCATTGGTACAGATGATCCGAAAGAAAAGTGGAGTTGAACTCATGTGAAGCCTCACCGTGATTTGTTCTCAGCCAGTCAGGACGCTCGGCCCCTGATAGATCGGAGACGCTGACACTGGGCGCTGGCCGGTTGAGCCAAGCCCAGGCTGAAATTTCAGGAAGACCCTGATTAACTGTTGTCAAATGTGAACTATTCCAAGACCACAGGGCCATTTTGAGGAGTATTTGAAACCACTGTGATGTGTAAATGCCATCTTGCTTTGTGCACCAAGTAAGGGACTCTGAAGAGCCCTGGTGGATGACAGTCGGTTAAGCGTCGGGCTGCTCACCGAAAAGTCGTCAGTAGGTCCTATGAGTAAATTCAAGAGGGAACAAAATCTCACAGTGTAAACCAAGTCAGTCGATGATCGTGAAATTTGCACACAATTCTAAACCTACTGCCACAGAGTCCATTCGGACTCACTTTGACGCCGTAGGACAGAGTCGGACTATGCCATTAGGGTCTCGGAGACTGTAAGTCCGTAAGGGACCATCAGCCTCATCTTTTTCCTGCCCAGTGCTCGATGGCTTTGAGCGGCCAACTTTGTGGTTAGCAGCCTCACGCTTAACCTGCTCTGCCACCGAGGCTCCTCACACACAAGTCTAGGAGCTAGAGTTGACCGTAAACTTCGGAACAACCCAGCCCCTTTCTTGTTGCACTTGATATCATCTGACTGATTCCCCTGGCCGGAATGAGGCTAAAAGAGAAAGCAGAGAACTGCGCACTGCTTTAAGTTAAACACTGGTTTAAGATCAAGCCTGTTCTCTGGAGGTGGGTGGGGAAAGGGATGTTTATATCAGCAACCGCACTATCAAATTCCGACTGAACTGTAAGATGATAATTTCGCATAGTTACACAGGGCTAGGCGAGGATTTCGCTGCCACCGGACAGTCAGAAACCCACAGAAAGGACATTCACTTGAGTCGACTTAACTCAATGGGCCAGATTGCTAAATCCACACATCGGTCCAAACATTATGAATTTCACAGTGGGAAAAAGCCTGCTCCAAAACTGCAGACACCACCCCATTGTCGAAAATACAGACCCCACCCCTCTGAGGAATTGCAATGTTTTGTGTGTGTGTTCAAGTTGGTGGGGGTTTCTTTTCATTTAAAAGTGTGTGATATTTAAGTTCCAACAGTAACTTACCTCCTGAGACACAGCCATAAAAGCAAGCTTCCTCGTTACTGTCTCCAGCCCCGGAGTTGTAGAGGGTCCCCCTTCAGGTGGTCCTTAGAACAGGACACCCCCACCCCCTGCCCCGTCTGCTGTGAGCTCCCCTCTGTGTTGATATGGTCCTCTGAGTGTGCCCGCCCCACCCCTCTGTTTGAACAAGTCTCCACGTTTGTCTTTATGCTCATTTCTTCATTTCCTCCTCTGCTTCCCGTCAGCCTCCCAAAAAGATATGGGATTATACTCCTGGAGCCTGCTCTATCCTTCCTAGAGAGGATAGAAAGGTAATTCCACTGTGCCTCCTCTGTGGAGTGAGTGCGTGCATGCGTGTGTGAGTGAGTGTGTGTGTGTGTGTGTGTGTTTGCTCTAGCCTGGATTAGTGGGAGTGTGTTGTGTGGGGTTCCCCCCCCTCTCTTTTTTTAAATTTAGTGTGATAGCTTTTCTTTTTCTTTCTGACTTGGTGATAAAACTATTTAACAAAGCCTCTAAGAACCTATACGAATGTTTAAAAGGTTTGGGGAAGAAAGTATTTCTTCTTCTGGTATAAAACAATTGTTACATTCACCATACTTTGGAAGAGAGATATTTCCTGAAAGGTAGGTTGTGTGTTAACTATTGTTCTTCCTCTTCTTTAGCAAGTAGAATAGATGTCTAGCCGCTCTGGTTACCCCAGGACTTAACAATGTATATGCCTAGTGTTGGAATTCGCTGTTTTCATGTTTCTAACGAATTTCCTGTACATACCTGTGTGTTACTCATGCCATCTTTGCCTTTTTTGAACGTGCAAGCCTAGAAATATAAAACAGTCTTTGGTGTTTCCTAACTGAACCTTTCTTTCTTCTCTCCCTGTTCTCGAAACTAAAACATTCTTTCCGGTCTTTTCTTTCTCGAACCAGACTAATCTAGACACAGAGCTCACCCTCTGCCAAGCAGAGTTAGAGGCAGATTTAGACAAAGTGGAGACGCTTAACAAAGCACCCAGTGCACACCTGGCCCAGGTATTTCCTGCTTTCTCGTGCTGTCAGGTCATGCTTCCGGGCCCGTTTGTTTTCCCTTGGCTCCGCGGGGTTTGATGTAGTTGACAGCTGCTTATGCTGGTGCGTGGCTCTCTGGCCCCTGTTGTAGACTTCCTCCCACCCGCTCACGTTAGAGCTTTGCTTGGATTTCTTTGGAGCTTGGCATCTTCCTTAAAGAGGATTTTTTCCCCCCCAAAGATGCGTGTATGAAACATGGCTGGTGACGTAAACTCTTCACCCTCCCCTGTTGTTCTCCCTCTCCAGTTCCACGAGGTGACGCTCTTTAAATTCCCTGCCCTCGCCTCTGATTTTTCAGGGAGGCTATTATGCGTTGAGCTGCTAACCAAACGGTCAGCAGTTCAAGCCCACCAGTCGCTCTGCAGGAGAAAGATGAGGCTGTCTCCTCCCGTAAAAACTTCAAGCCCCAGAGACTGAAAGGGGCAGTTCTCCCCTTTGGGTCCCTGTGGGTCAGAATCAGTTGGATGTCAGTAAGTTTGGAGTTTTTAAATTTAGGGTAGTTGCCTTGGCTGTGTGTGTGTGTGTGTGTGTGTGTGTGTGTGTGTGTGTGTGTGTGTGTTTCAGCCCTGGGAGATCATTTTCATTTTCATGGTCGGCAGCCATGATACGAATGCCTCGTTTGAGCACGTCACTGTCAGACATGGGTATTTGTCATTGGAAAGACAAATGTTATCTGTGATTAAAAAATGCGCGCCATAGGCCACCAAGAGGCATTGGAAACTTGACTCCCTCTGGCATTTTAAAAGGAAGCTTTGCCTACAGGTGATTTGTTAAGTGGCCCAAGATAAAACCTGTCCATGCATTCCCCCCCCCCCCCAAAAAAAAGATATTGTTATACAAGCATGTTAAAAGCATGGAGACTCTGCAGAAGAAGCCAGAAAGTTCTGTAGATGAATGGCAGGACTTGACCCATTAGGAAGATTTAAGACAAGGAGAGTCAGGCCCTAGCACAAGTGATTTGGGTGTGAAAAGTCACTTCAGTGTCAGATTCAAACCGGGGAAGGGACAGAGAAACTAGGGATTGTGGCAGCAGCCAAGGAGGGCCGGGTTGGGAGAGCCAGAAGCTGGGTGTCTGCAGGTAGACCTGAGGGCTTAGGATTCGGGCCCCAGAGAGTCCCCAGAGAATGAGGGGACAGGAGTCTGTGGTTCATCTGAGGAATCAGAACTGGGAGGAAGCAGCTGGAGTATAGCGAGTGAGTGAGTACACTTTTTGAGATGTTGGGGCGGGGCTTTCACCATTTCCTGTGCTGTGGAGACTGGAACCATACAGCCACCGTGGGATTGATTGTCTCATTCTAGCATAAAGACTGTGGCTACAGGTGAGCCCGAAAGTGGTCTGGGCATGGATGGAAGCTCTGAGATTTCAGATCAGCCAAGAGGGAAAGTGGGGGCTCTTCTCGAAGTAGTCCAAAGTGATAAGAAGTTCTTATCATGCATGGGTGGAAGGTCCCCAAGGATGACTTGCCTGCAGCCTCCCTGAGCGCAGAGATTGTTCTGCACCTGAACCCAGCCTGGGGCCGAGTGGGGCAAAGACATGTCTGATGCGCCCAGGCGTCCTTTTCACGTCAGTCCCGAGGGTGTGAAACAGGCTGTGCGGGGTTCTGTGTTGGAATGAGAAGTGCAGTTTGTCCTCCCAGGTCACATCAGCGCTAGTGCGAAGCTAAACACTAGCAAATGACTCAGGGGCACCTGACAGTACAAGCTAAGCATCCAGGGTGGCAGAAGAGCCAGAGTGCCAAGGGGTGAGAGGCTCAAGAGGGAGAGGAAAGGCAGGCAAGATAGTGTAGCCAAAGAGCCTGGGAGGAAGAGTGTGGAGGGGCGAAGGGATGCCAAAGGTACTATCAGGAACTAAGGGACCCAGCAGGTGGAGGGGGTGGCATTTCCACAGGCAGAATGCCAGGTGAGTGACCCCCTGGTGAAGGTAGCCTCCCCATCAGCTTGTTTTTCTCTTTTCACGCGTCTTTTTTTCTCCCCACCCCCCACCCTGAGTGTTTCTTCTCTTCCCCAAATGTCTCTTCTCCTCCAGGGAACTTTTTCCTTCCCTAGTTTAAAGGGTCATTATTAAAACGAGGAGACTTTTCACTTTCACAGTTAATATTTGCCCTGCTTTATTCAACGACCCCATCCCGCTCAAACACAAACAGGCTGAGCCCTCCGGTTCTTCTCCCCCAGGCGACACAATGACGGGACCCGGAAGCATTGATGGCATTGAGCTTTCTCTGCCTCTGGGTCCCTTTGTTGTCTTCCGTTGGGGCGGTGTCTCATAGCTGGATAAAACCTCCGCGTCCCCCCGCGTCGTTTCCGCCCCCCCCCTGAAATGGGCATGAACACGAGTGTGACGAAACTGCCTGTCTCCCCATTAGCACGCTTCTCAATCTGCAGGTGGTAACACATGCGCTCAAGACAGCGTGGTCGTTCCCAATGGGTTTTGTATGTTCTGTACCTAAAGAGTTGGGTGGGTCTCCCTTTGGGGGTGCATCTGGCTGGCATGCATGAGGAGGTCAGTGATGACGGGCTTGCTAGGGGGATCTGAGGAGAAGCCCAGGCATGGGGTGAAGTTGTGGGAACACTGATGCATGTTGGCCACATGGGGGTCCATCCATCCAGAGGGACTGCCGCGTAAGATAAGCAGAAGCCCAGAGGCGCTCCTCTGACCCAGAGGGCCTTGCCAGCCTTCACTGGGAGGCCCATGCCCAGAGCTTAGGTGAGTCCACCTGCCCAGACATGCCCTTTCCGAGAAAGAGACCACCCTCCACCAGCCCTGAAAACCTTCCAGCCAGCCGCTCCTGTCTCTCTGAGGTAGTTACCTGAATTAGAACAGAAAAGTGACCTACCTTTGTTCCCATGGAGTGTAATAACCTGATTCCAAATAAGTCACATATACTCTCTCTTTCTCTCTCTCTCTCTGACACCTGCAGAGCTCAGCAGTCAGCCCCACTCCGGAAGCGTCATCAGAGCCTCCTGGATAGTAAGTAGCCAGCTGTTCACGAGACGTTTGTGTATAAGGTGTCTGGCGTGTGTTATAGTTCCAGTGTGTGTGATTTGTAGCAGTCCAGTTAGCGGCTTCCAATGACATATAGTTTGGTGACAAATAGCCAGCTAATATAGTCGGAGTAGCCCCTTCGCCCCCACCCCCACGCCCCCTCAGCCTTCCCCACCTTACCACACAGCGACTGTTCCATTCGGCCATTTTCAGTACTAGGTGGCGCCAGTGGTTAGGTGTTAGGTTGCTAACTGGAAGCTTGGTGGTACAAACCCACCATTGGCTACAAGGGAGAAAGGAGGCTGGCTGCATCCATAGAGATTTGCTGTCTCGGGAACCCTGTTAGGGCCACTCTGAGATGGACCCAACTCTGGAAATGGGTTGGATTTGGGGCTTGGGCCCCGACCCTGGTTACATGGATGGTCAGTGGCAAACATCGTAGCCCATGCACGTAGTTCCTAACTGAACATTTCTGGAGTCATTCTCTGCCTGCTACCCCTCCTGGCACACCCATGTTTTGCGGTATCCCCAAATGAATGTGGCTGAGAGGTTTTAAACACCTCAAAGGCAAGGATTGCCGCTCCACAGGGCCTGACTCAGTCCTACCTGCCCGATGTAGCCATTCGATTTGGGAGAAGAGCTTGTTCCGGTAGGAGCATCTCCTGGTTCGTTCTCTCTCTCTCTCTCTCTCTCTCTCTCTCTCTCTCTCTCTCTCTCTCTCTCTCCCTCCCTCCCTCCCTCTCTCTCTCTCTCACACACACACACACACACACACACACACACACTCACTCTTCAGAATGGGTCAGGGGAAGGCACACAAACCTGCCCTCTGCCCTCTGGGTTGAATACATCCAGATGAGCCACACTCACCTGTTCAGAGAAGAAGCTGGCTTAATCTGAATCCGAATTCATGGATTTTTTTTGGACAGGTGTTATGGTCACGTGGCCGTGTCCACCCTGCCTTGCCAAAGAACTTTGCAAGAGGAATTAAACTTGAAAGCCAGTCAGCTGGGGTTTGAGTATTTCATTGAGATAATGGGGGGAAAACGCCTCTTAGGGTAGCAATCAAAAGTGCCACCTAGATCCATGATGTTAATTTTTCCCCCTAGAAATGCATGCACTTGTACTGTTACCATGCCCCAGAGCCTAAGAATAAGTTGAGAAGCTCTGTGAGGACAGTAAGCTGGGTTAAAGAAAGGATCCCTGGAGGGGCTGCCGGGTCAGCGTCTGACTGCTCACTGCCAAAGTTGGTGGTTCACACCCGCCAGCTGCTCTGTGGGAGAAAGAAGAGGCTGTCTGAGCCTGTAAAGCAGTGGTTCTCAACCTGTGGGTCACAACCCCTTTGGGGGCCAAACAACTCTTTCACAGTGCCAAACAACTGTTTCACAGATTCATAACAGTATCAAAAGGACAGTTATGAAGTCGAAACAAAAATAATTTTATGGTTGGGGTCACCACCACATGAGGAACTGTATGAAAGGGTGGCGGTATTAGGAAGGTGGAGAACCACTGCTCTATAGGGTCGCTGTGAGTCAGAAGCTGGCTCGGTGTGGTTAGTACCATTTTTGTTTTTCTGTAATTCTGTGTGAACATGACTGAAGGATGAATACCACTTAAAAGAGAAAATTGACTCAACCAGTCTAAGTACTTAGCTATATAAAGCTTTCTGATGGGTTAATTTACCCACACTTTTTGCTTGTATCGTTGAAATAGTTTTCCAAAGAACTCTGATTTTTGGCCTTCACCTACAGCTCATGAAATACTTAGCAGAAATACAGGCTGCCCTTCTTCTCCCCCCCCCCACCCCCCCTCACTTTGCTAGACTACCTAGTGTAGTGGTTACATATTGGGCTGCTATCTGCAAGAGAACAGTGGCTTTCTACTCCCGTCAAGAGTTACAGTCTCGGAACCTCACAGGGGACAGTTCCACCCTGTCCCGCAGCGACTGGATGGTGGTGAGTTTGGTTTGGTGGGAGTTATCAGATCTTATTAGCAGGGGAGATTTACTCATCTCATCTTCTCAGTACTTTGATCATTGGTTGCTGAGCCAAAGAGCTATACTGTGTTTGACCAGCAGGTGGCAGTCAGGAACAAGCTGTTGGTCCCTAAGAGGATGCAATTACAGGTGCCCCCTGTTTTTGGAAGGTTCACTTTACATCACTGTCATTAATGCTCTATTTAGTACTTGTTTTGGCTAATGAAAAGGCAAACGGTTTTCCACTTTCATGAAGAATCGATCAGCACTTGTTTTTTCAGAAAGATGCTAAGGAGACAGCAGGCACCCTAGTAGTGAGAGTGACCTCGCTCTGCTTCTTCCTGGGGAACCCTACACAGAGGTCCCGCCTCAAGCTTCCATCGCTTTGAACTGCCTGAGAACACTATATGCTAGTGTGGTTTTAAGTTTTATGAGCTCTTTGGTCTGGTTTGGAAAGTTATTATGTGAAGCCAGAATGCTCATATTTTTTCCCCTTATGCGTTAATAACGATAATTCTTTCTTTGCTTTACGCCATTTCGGCGTAACACTCTATTGAAACACTCTACTGGGAGGTAGCGAGGAGACCTGTATACCCCAAACCTGCTGTGACTCGGTCTATGCCAGCCCATAGGGAGCCTCCAGGACAGAGTAGAACTGGCCCCCCAGGGTTTCCAGAGCGGTACATCTGTATGGAGGCAACCTGCCACATTTTCCTCCTGTGGAGCAGCTGGTGGCTTTGAACAGCTGACCTTTGGGTTAGGAACCAAACGAGCACTTTAGGTGCTGTGCCCCAGGGCTTCCGAGCTACAACTACAAACCCCAACCACACTTAACTGCCACGAGTCTGTTCCGATTCACAAAGCACTTCGAGAGCAGAATGGAAAGTATCCCAGATGGCTTCCATGGTTTCCAAGGCTTTCAGATTTACAGAAGCTGGGTCTGCTCGGGTGGATTGGAACCCTTTCCCCTCAAGTTGAGAACCAAGAATCCATGGCCTAAAGAGCTGGGTGAAACTGTAGAGATTCTCCTGGGAAAATGTGTCAGAAACCTGCCTGCAGAACAATCATGTGTGCAGCTGATACTTATTGCACCCCAGTGCTGTGCGGCAAGTGTGCAAAGATTGAGAAGATGAACTGCCTGCCCTCAAAGGTCCAGCGTGGAGCCGGAGAGCGAGACTTGCCAAGAAGCCTCAAAATGGAATGTGCATGTGTTGGTGGGACCCAGCAGGGAGGGGTCGCCTCAGTCTTGAAGGGGAGAAAGGTTAGGGAAGACTCTGTGGAGGGAGAAGCCAACAAAACCTGAATATAATTGGAAACGTTAATGCAGCTGCAAAGGCTAATGAGGAAACATCCCTCTTCACCTTGTCTAGACTCCTTCTCCCACAGTCACCATTAACGAGAGTTACATCCCTCCCCATTCACCCAGTGGTTTAGAACAGTGAATTCAGTTCCATGCAAGTGAGCGTTTGTTTCACAGCTGAACCTCCCCAAGGAGAGTGATTAGCGCGCAGCAAGTGCTCCGTCACTGTTTGCTGAGTGAATAGATGAACCGTGGGATGGCGTGAGCTTCTAGGAAGATCTGCTGGCTGCGCTCTGCCCAGCTCATTGGAGTACGCCGAGGCTAGCCGGAGTGATGGTGCGTTGTAGGTGAGAAGTGTGTAGGTGAGAAGTGATGAGGCCGAGATAACAGGTGGAAAGGGAGCATCCGCAGTGTGCTGTGTCTGCAAGAGTGGTGAATAGGGCGTGGCGGCCAAGTGTGGGAGCAAGGGAAGAGGAAGGGGTGGTGAGTCCCTGGACTTTCGGCTTACAGGTTGGTAAGTGGGTTTCCAGCTCGGGAGGATGAACAGAGCTGGGTTTGGCCTTGGGACTGTTGGGTTTGAAAAGCTTGAGAGACTTCTAAGAGGAGAAACCTAGAAGGTGGTTAATGTTATGTGTCCATAGCTTAAAAGACAGCTCTGTGTCAAAAACAGAGGTGCAGGTAGGTGCCATAGACCATTTCAGCCATACCTGACATTTCTGCAGATGAAAGAAATTCAGGCAGAAGAAGATGGGTTCCAAGTTTTTTCAACTCAGCAGATTCCTGGCTGGAGTCAAACTGGTATCCCTGACTACTTACAGGCTCTCACCTCCAGAGTCGGCCTGTTGGAAACAATGGTTGCTCTGTGCCTGCCTTAGTCTGCCAGTTGTGGGAGAGAGTACTGAATTCTCTGCACTGGCTCCTCCTGGCTGGCTCTTCCACATTTGGAAGCTAGTTTAATGGGGGCTGCTCAGAGCTGAGCTTCTGAGCAAAATTTATTCATTAATGCATAGCTGCTGATTCTGACTGGGTCTTCCCCGTTGAACCTGGGTCAGCGGTTTGCTTTTCTCATTCCTCTGGGGCACAGCCAGGACCTAATGAATGCGTGACCCTGGACAAATGCCCTTACCAATCTGTCCCTCGGTTTCCCCTCTTGTGCAGTAAGGCTCCCGATGCCCATCTTTCCAACATTGGGTGACCTGTTGGGGATGCTAAACTTAAAAATATTGTCCCAGAGCTTCTGGCTATTGTTTCTAAACAAAAAGCTCTTCTTTTGCAAAGTGTTCACATCTGGAAAATATATGCTGGCTATTGTATCAAAAAGAAAAACACTTGGCCTAAGCAAATCCATGCGGAGAGGTTTCCTTAGGGCGGGATTGTTGTGCTTGTGGGGAAACAGGATAAAAACAATGGCGATGCTAGGTGAGATAATGCCCTCAAGTGAGGTCAGGGGCTGGGGGCTGGGGAGGTCAGGGCCCAGTCCTGGCCCAGAGTCCCCCATTTAAACCCAGAGGCACCTCACAGTGCAGCCCTTACCATCAGCTTCTAGGAGGCCCCCCAGCTTTGAAAACCCAATGGAGCAGGTTCTTCTCGGCACACATGGATCTCCGAGTGTGAGTTAGCATCCGCTCACCAAGAACTAAATGCAACAGGGACGATGGGCCAGAGGTTCTGGCCCCAGGTGGGGCAGTTCAAAGGCCGGCAGTACAGGGACCACTGTCAGTCACCCCTGTGCTGAGGAGGGTCTGGAATCGAGGTGCTCAGACACCAGCCCCTCAACACCCCAGCTATCTGTCAGCAAAGGGAGAAGATAGCTATACAAAACCAGTTGCTGTCTAGTCAATCCGATTCAGGGGAGTCCCCTCTGTGTCAAAGCAGAGCTGGGCTCTGTGGCGTTTCCAGGGGTTGAATGTCTGCAGGAAGAGCACCAAGCTTTTCTTCTGAGGGGCCTGTGGAAGAAACCCCCAGCCTCTCAGCTAGCAGCCGAGCACGTAAACCATTTGGACGCCCCACGGGTGTTCCGGGTAGGGAAGTGTTGTTAAGAAAGTGACCGAGAATGCTGTGTGGTGCCTGATGACATGTGGAAGTTCCAGCTCTGCCATGCTACCACCTGTGCCTATCTCCTCATCTCAAAAATGGATTTTTATAAATGAGGATTAGAGAGAGGACAATTGTCAAGCACGTACTCTTGTGCTTCCCAGGTAGAACATCTTGTCAAGTGGGGTGCTGCTGTGGCCGCCACTGTCTGGGACCATGGAGGCTCGGAGGATGGGGTGATCCATAGAAAGAAAGATATGTGCAAAAGTAAAATCCCATTCTCGATGGATGGATAGAGGGAAAGGTTGATGGACAGATGTATGAAGAGGCACATGTAGCCCGGTGTTTGTTGCCCAGTGTAGGGTTTGGGTGTATAGGTTTTCATGGTTATAATTTTTTTTAAATACTTTTCTGTGGACTTGAAAACATTCAAAATAGAGAATTGGGAGAGAGGAATTCCATCAAGATGTGGCTCTTCAGAAATGGAAAAATAGCATTGATCCCAGGACGTGGAATTCAGTAGGAGTGAAATATACAGCCTAGCAGAAGCCAAAGTGTGTGTGTGTGTGTGTGTGTGTGTGTGTGTGTGTGTGTCTCAACATGTCAGTGGCCAAGGGCATAGAAAAATGGGATTAGGAGGAAGGGAGGGGTTCAAGTGCTTTTCATTTTTTTCCGTGCCCCACCTCATTCCAAAAAGGATCTGGTGGTGACTTGCAAAAAGACCTAGATTACAGTGAGGTACAAAATACCCGGCGGCTGTGAACGAGCTGTAGTTTCTCCTCTTGCTGCGAGCCGAGCCGGAAGGTTTTCTGAACACACAGGGCTGCGGGATCTGGCTGTCTGTCTTCCTCAGGGCCATTAGAATTGGAAGGTGCCCGTTTTTCTTGGCCTGTTTTTCCTTGCCACCCTGGCAACTGAGTCTCCCGGGTACACTGCTGATGGGCAGGCAGTTTTAAGGCTCTCATCGGTGAAATCACATGGGAAGAACAACCCAGGAGACTAGTCCAAGTGGTGGACTTGAGCAGGCTGCCATTGGGTGTGGCACCATGCCACCAGCTTCACTAGGGCCTTGATTAGGCCATCTTGCCTGCTATGCCCCTGGCCAGCAGCACCCCCCCCACCTGCCTACCCCTCACCCCGGCATTGTTCACAGAGATGCTGTTTTACAAGCACAAATAGTCAATCAGAGCACTTTTCCTGTTTGGACAAGATCCCAGAGCGCTCAGGACACCAGCAGGTCGGTCCGGTCTGTGGAAATATGCGTCTACGCATCGGATCCTAGGGCCGGCAGCAAGCGTGTGTCCAGCCTTCAGCTGAGCTTTTGAGCAAAGTACCCAGTAGGTGCTTATCTCTCACCTCTTTTTGTCACCCCTCCCCTTCTTTTCTCCCTCTCTCGTCTGAAATGACATGGTTCGCAGTATCTATTCCTCCAACTTCCACGCAGTGAAGAGGGAAACCGATGGGTCCCCGGGGGACCTCGCCGGCTTGGAGAACGAGAGGCAGATTTATAAGAGCGTCTTGGAAGGTGGTGACATTCCTCTGCAGGGCCTGAGTGGGCTCAAGAGACCCTCCAGCTCGGCTTCCACTAAAGGTGAGTGAGTGACCTCTCAGGCGTCCCTGTCCCCCCATCACCACCGTGGTGGTGGGAACAGCTGCCAGCAGCCGGGAAAGCTCCTCCCCCGTTCCAGTCCAGTCCAGATCCAAGTCTCGGAGCCCGAGGTCCCGTCCCAGTTTTCTCTCTGTGGCCATTTTTCTTTCTGGTATTAGTTTCTCTTCCTTTGCTCTTCCTCAAGCATCTCTGATTATTTTTGTTCTAACCCCCATTTCTTAGAAATTAGCTGAGCTTCAGCCTCCTGACTCTAGCAGGGTGACCATTTTTTTTTTTCTCGTTGCATTTTCGCACCTGCTTTGCAGCACCGGTTATGTTGCTTCTAGACCTGAACTGAGAAGGAAAATTAAAAAAAAAAAAGCCCTTAATGATAAATGAGCATGCCCCCCCCCCTTTTTTTTTTTTTTTTTACTATTTTCAGCAGCTTTCAGCTTTAACCTAATGGGTCTGTTTATTTTATCCTGCATGCTTACCAGTGGACCGTAAAGGTGGGAATGCTCACATGATTTCTTCATCCTCGGTTACTAGCCGAACGTGTAACACTAGCCATGCCTTAGGCCCCGGGTGTAAGCACAAGAAGCCCCTCTCGGCCGCAAAAGCCTGCATTTCGGAAATCCTCCCTTCCAAATTCAAACCCCGGCTCTCTGCTCCCAGCGCTCTCTTGCAGGAACCGAAGAGCCTCCTGTTGCCTTCGGAGAAGGCTCAGAGCTGCGAGAACCTTTGCGGTTCAGCATCGCTGGGCCATCCCCGCCGGGGCCTCCCTCTGCACGCGGGGGGCAGCATCGAGAACCTGCTCTGGCGCTCGCGGCGGGACTGCGACAGCCGCTCGGGCAGCACCATGAGCCTGCAGGAGTACGGCTCCAGCGGTCGCAGGCCTTGCCCGCTCTCCAGAAAGGCCGGCGTGCAGTTCTCCATGTTGTACCGGGACATGCACCAGATCAACCGGGCCGGCCTCCTCCTGAGCTCGGGCGCCTCCTCCGCCTCCAGCGTGCGCGACCTCGCCTCGCACTTTGAAAGGAGCGGCCTGGCGCTGGCCAGGGACGAGCTGGGCCCTGGGCAGGAGGGCTCGGAGCACATTCCCAAGCACACCGTGTCCTCCCGCATCAGCGCCTTCGAGCAGCTCATCCAGCGCTCCCGGTCCATGCCGTCCCTGGACCTGTCGGGCAGGCTGAGCAAGTCCCCCACGCCCCTGCTGGCCCGGAACGGCCTGAGCGCCGCGCGCTCCGCCGAGTCCCTGCTGGAGTCCACCAAGCTGCGGCCCCGGGAGCTGGACGGTGTGATGAGCCCCCGGCGGGTCTACGCCTCCGCGACGTGTAGCAACGTGGCGGACCCCGCCCTGGGCTTCAGGGCCCTCGGGCCCGCCGACCCCCTGTCGGCCTGCTCGGAAGAACTGGACCACTGTTCGAACGCGTCCAGCGACAGCCGAGAGGGCAGCGTGCACGGAGACGTCCCCAGACACCGCCCCAACAAGTGCAAGGGCCCCTGCCCGGCCTCCTACACGCGCTTCACCACCATCCGCAAGCACGAGCAGCAGCAGGGCCCCAGGCTGCCCGAAGGGCGCCCCTCGGAGCCCAGGGGGGACAAGAGCATTCTTCTCCGGAACATCTACCTGATGAGCCCCCTCCCCTTCCGGTTGAAAAAGCCCCTCCAGCATCCCCCAAGACAGCCTACCCCCACGGACTCCGCAGGCCTCTTGGCAGGCCAGAAGGCAGAGCAGCCCTGCCCCTGGGGGAAGCCCTTGGTGCCCGAACGCCTGTCTTCCCGGCTGGCCGTGGAGCGCCTTCGCCTTAGCAGGGGCTCGGAGCCTGGGTCGGAGGACTGCCCCAGGGCCATTAGCAATGGGCACGCCGTGCCCTTCCCAGACCACGGCCTGGACAAGAACAACAACCCACAAAGTGACCTGGGGACGGCCGGCCGAGGTGGCGTTTTGTGTCTTTGACCAGTCTCACCCCCATCCGTCTCTCCATTCTGCTTGCTTCTCCCCCACCCCCCACCCCCCGTGTGCCCTTGGTGCTCATTTTCTGGTCCGTCCTTTGTTTTCCGTTTGTTTTGCTTGGCAATTGATCATGGCTCTTAGTGGCTGCTCTTCTTTAAAAAACAAAGCCCCTGTGCCATTGAGACTAACCCCCAAACTCTTGTTTCGAAAGAAAAATTGGCCGTTTAGCTCACCTGAGAAATTCGATCATTGGAACCCTCGACCTCCCTTACTGTTTGCAACAATGCCCCGCCCCACCCCCCACGTATCCCCCTGGTTTTTTGAGAGGCAGCCTCTCTCCATGGCCCTGTGTGTGTGTGTGTGTGTGTGTGTGTGTGTGTGTGTGTGT